CTCTTCAGGTCTGTAGGACGCCTTTTCTCAAGCATCCAGGTCTGCTCGAACTGAGTATCCTCTGGGATTGGGATCTGACCCTTTTTTTTTTTTTATCCTTTGCCCAGCTGTGCTGAGAAGCTGGAGGAAGTAGAGGGGGGAGTATGCCTATATCTGGACCACGCTGCGTAGGCCAAAGAAACATAAACTAGTCATAACCAAAGAATTAAAGAGGAACTTCGATGAGTTTGGGGTATTAGCGAGTCTGAAATTTATGAATTTTAAGCAATTTCTGTTTCTTCTCGTTTTTGTAACTGACTTCTGAGGTGCAGTGGCTTTACCTGGCTGGAACTGCATGTGACAGTTCCAAATGTCCTGTTAATGCCAGCCTTGGGGTTAGCAAGATTTTATAGTTTCTCTGTATGTTTATTGGAGTTCTTGCTACTAATTTTAAATGTTTGCAAGAAGCTTTAAATTCTGAAAATAATTCCCTTGTTCCAACATAAATAAGGGTAAGCTTTCATTTGCTCTGTTTGCTCGGCATTTGTGACTCTTTAACATTCAAGAAAACAGGCAAATACACCAATACTAAGTATAGGCAAATATTTTCCGTATAACACTGCCTCCAGTATAAATTCCAGTAAATGCGTAACAGAACTTCTCGAAACAAAGTATTCTTTAATTATCTGTATTTCCCTGAAGAAACGGGGAGGTTTCCAACTGGTTACTTGACCTGAGGATTTCAAATGTCCTTTCTGGTCCTGTTTAGGAATATCCCATCCAGCTTTTCCACTAAACGTTTTTAGAACCTCGTGCCAGCTTTGATCATACCAAATACAGTATTTTATTAGTTTTACATTCAATTTTTGTGTGTTTTGTTGACACTTTATTGTTCCTCCTACTCTTTACTCAAGCTTCCACATGCCAGATCTGGAGTATTTAAGCGCGAGGAACTGTTTGCGCGTTGCCACCGCCTCTGAGCTTTCAGAGCGTGTATTAAGGGTTACTAGCTCTCCTCTAGCCCGGGGAAGCTAGAGGATGAAGATGAGCATAATACCATGCTAATAAAAGACAAATGTTTTGTGGGAGCTTTGGGGATGAGTTTTTGGTTTTTCGGTTTAATCTCATGACTTCTGAAATAATCTTACGGTATCTGGAGGACTGTCTGACAAAAAGCATTTGGGTCTGTGGGGTTTGATTCATGTTGGCGTCCCAGAGCAGAGCTTTAGTGTTTGAAGCTTGCTGCTTTATTTCTCCACCGTGCCCAAAGAATACAGCAGGAGCTATGGAAGGCAGTGAGCTGGGCACCGAAGCGTGGAAATGGTCTTTCGGGAGAGCAAATAAGTGAATTTTTATGGAGTAAAATGCTGGGTTGTCACCCGACATAACTGGGGTCTATTCAGGCTCCTTTTGGGGGTCTGTTTGCAAGTCAGGTAGATAGGGTGAAGCTGGCAATTTAAATCTGGGTACATCTCGGAGAAGTACAGCCACGCATTTGTGGTTTGGATGTTCCTTTGGAAGTTATTCCTATAGAGCTTTGGGGCATTGGTGAGTTCAGCTGCAGGAAGGACTCTCCGGTTTGTTAAAGCAGTTCATTTTCTCTTACGGTAAGATGGGAGGAAGCTTGACGCATTTTCTTAAAGATCCATTGTAGGAACTAGCAAACAGTGAAGACGTGGTAATGATTTGCTAACCTTTCAGTCCTGCATCAGGAAGCCTTTTGTTGAAACAATAGTGATCGTGGAGCAGACATGCAATTCGTGCATCTTAGGTGTGTTTAAAGGGGCTTTGCTTGCTCTTGGTCTGTGCATAGTTTAGAAATTTGTTATTCTTGCATGGCAATCGCTTGTTTGCTGGGACCTGTGGGACCAGAGATCATGCTCGTTCACTCTTGGACCTCTTCAACCGTGCTGTCACCGTTATGGATGAGTGTGTTAACTGCAGAGGTGAACATCTGGTACCTGGCAGCAGAAAACCTGTTGAACTGACAAGTGGCTGGTTTAAAATACTTGAACTGTTGTTTTCTTGCTTAGATTTTTGTCTTTATCCTAATCAGCTTCCAGTAGCTATTTCTATTGAGTCTCATGGAGGAGTAAAGCTAGAATTCGTTAGCTGGAAGATGCTTAGGCTGTGCAGGTGGCCCAGTTGCTTGGACAGATCTGTCTTGTTTTGCCTCTTAATTGAACACAAAGGTGAGGTTTCATCAGCATCCTTGATATACCAAAGATTTACTAAACCCTGTAAGTTGGTGTACACTGGAGAAGGCAGACTTGCACCCGCAGCAGTACCACGGCCCTGTCTTAGGGCTGAGGAGATGACTTGTTTTTATTAGAACGAAAGACAGAGGAAAAAACCTTCTTCCCACTAAAGGTGGATGGGACAGCATTTCTAGGAAGCTGTAACGAAGGAAGTTCACTGTCTTGGCATCACTAAGGAAGAAGAACTAGATGACTCTTTAGAAGATGACGGGGGGGATTTTGGAAATGGTAGCAAGAACTCTTTGAAATTGGGGTTTGTCCATACAAGAACATTCAGGAAAGTTAATTCAAATGAACTGAAGATAGAAATTGAAATATGGTTTTAATTTGGTTTAGTTTAATTCATCTGTCTGCTTGTATTCTGGATGAAGGTGTCCATGCAGGAATTTAATTTCATCTCATAGAAGTACTTAAATTAATATCCTTCATTAGGTTAGGGTGTGCGAGTGTTTTCTTCCATAAGCATTCTCAAACGACCTGTAGCCAAGGAATTGGGCATCAGCAGAAGGGAAGCGACGCCTGTGTAGGTACAGGGTGGTCTTGCTGAGAAGCCAAGAGCCTTCCCCTTCTCTCCCTGAAAGGGGACAGTGCAGTGACTCTCCAATATCCAGCTCTTCCCCACGATCCCTTCTGTGGAGTGCGGCAAGGAGTTACAACACTGATATTCCTACAGGGCAAATCACAAAACCCAGCAGCCCCTAGACACAGACAACTCAGGAGCGTAGAAATACTGTATTTCAGGGGTTCAAGGAAATCTAGTTTGCCATTTCACTCGCACGAACACTCATTTTTAAGTTTGCGATTACACATTTAACTTCAAACCATTTTGTATGTAGATTAGGGAATTTATAAGTTCTGTAATTAAAGCTTGTCCTGATTTGTGTAACAGTACTTTTGTATTGTTACTGCCTCGTTACTCTACTTACGTGCTTCATATTACCTTTTTATTCCACTTAAGTAATTTTCCAGAATTAGTTGCAGAACTTCACAAATCCGTAATTAGCCATACAAGATCCACATTGAGATTTTTTTTTTAATCCAGATTTTTTTAATGCTTCAAATGCTTGTTTGCTCAAGTATGTTCATATGAATTTCTGGACACATTGCACAGTACATGCTGACACCGTGAACAAAAAGCTGGCCAGTCTGTCTATGAACAGCGTGCTGTGGTATGCAATGTCGTGGCACTCGAGGAATTCGGTGATCTCTGTACGAAGAGCAAGATGTTGTTTATTGTTTCTTTATAAAGATTGTTTTGGGTCTATAAAACTTGCTATAGAACACAGTGAGTGCTGTCAGCTTCAAGCACGTTCTTGCTTTACTCAGCGTCATAAATATCTCGTAACAATCTAGGGTATGATGCAGATCTGTTCAATCATATTGGATGGGCTCTTAAAAGGCTCTGAAGACTGTGTCTTGGTATGAGCTTATTCATCTGCGCTAGAAGGATATTTTCTTGCTAGTGAATTTTTTTTTGGTTAGTGTCAGTGTATTGTGGCTTAGATTCTTCACTCCTGGGCTGAAAGCATTTGGAAAGGTTTTATGAGAGATAATAAACTTAATGGGCTTTCAAGCTGTTAACTCTTTTGCTGCGAAATGTAAATGTCTGTTTCTGTAACCCTGTGGAAGTCGATGTGATCTTTATAATGCTGGGAGATGCGAGAACTGCGATACAAAAAGGACAATACAAATGCACCATTTGGACTTTCTCTCCTAAACTCTTGGCGTTTTTCCCATTGAAATGTCTCCCGTATATGTGGCAACGTGTTCACTCCTAAATGACATTTCAACTTCTTTGTAAATTCTTCTGTCCCTTTGGAAAGCTTCACAATGGGATCCCACACGCAGCGTGTTTTTCCACCCCGTGGAGCACAACTCCTGTTCTGCAGGAGGGTGTCTTTTAGTGTGTCTTGGAATGTTTCGTGTGATTTAGGAAATAAAACCAATAAAGCCATAGTTCTCTTGAAATTTAAGAAAGAAAAACTTAGTGTGGCTTGGATTGCATACGTTATTTCTTTCTCTATAGTTGAAACTTCAGGTAAGAGTTTGAATTCCAAAGCCTTCGTGACCTTTGTAAAATCGCAGCAAAGCGAAAAGTGCAATCGCAGTGCAAAAAGGCTGAAATTCAGTGGTGTTTCTGCCTTGAGCAGATTTAAGGGCCTTTTTAGAGCTAGCAGGAGGTATGACTACTTGAAATGTAAGAAAATCAGTATGGAGGAAGAGGCCTATTGTTGAAATGGGCAACGTAACAACAGTATTTTGCAATGAAGTTGCAGTTTGCTTTTCCAATGAATCGCCAGCTTTCTACTGGAAAAAACTTCCTTAGCGTGTGCTCAGACCTAGAACTGTAATACGTTTTCCCCTCAAATACCCACTGTTTAACTCAAAACTTACGTAAGCACCGAAGATACACAGCTAAGCTACTCTGTGCTTGAAATGTGGTTTAGGGGTCAGGAAGGAACTAAGCGTAGCCCATCTGGGTGCCATCTCAGAGCTGTTCTTTTTCTCAAGTAAGGGTATCACTGGTGACGTTACAGTGTTATCCCTTTTCTAGGTACAAATCGCTGTTTCAGGAGTTTTTGTATTTTCTTGCTTGGAATTCTGTATACTTCCCCGAACCTTTTTCCTTTAAAAAAAAAAAAAAAAAAAGAAGAAAGGAAGTAAAAAGTATAGGTGAAAAATCAAGCTGAGTATTTTTTGGCAGTGAATGTTGGAGCTTTAAATTTCTCTAAGGTAATCTTTTTTTTTTCCCCCCCACTTGTTTTTGTAGGATGCTGTGACATCAAAACCAGTAATCCAGTTTCAAGGAAGCCAAGGGGTAAGTTTGTATGTGGGTTGCCTTGGAAAGTTCTTTACTGGCTTATACGATTAATCTGAGTAAGGTATTTGTTCTGTATGTCTGTCCTATTCCAGTTCAAAGAGTGATGCTCTGCTTTCTGAAAGTGAGAGATGTGAAGTTCCGATGTGGTCCAGGAAAGAGTGTTTGCTCATTGATTGCACGGATTATCTCTCTCTAAAAACTTCCCCCCCCTCTTTATTTTCTAACCTTGCTAAACCCATAGCACCAGCACCACCAGTGTTGCCGGTGGTGAAATTTAGTTTTATAAGGCCATGCTGTTGGGTAGAACAAGGAAACGGAAAGTTCCCTGATGGCAGTACTGTGGTGGGTGCAGCAATCCATGGAAACCTCGCCCGTGTCCCGAGGAAACGCCATGCCAAGCCTGGTAAACTTGGGGCAAGACTTTATGGGTACCAATTATTTACAGTAGCAGTGCTTGGAGGCTGCTACGGATGTACCGAAGCTTTATTTAATATGCATGTCTAAACTACTGTGCAGTTTCTGTGAGTACCAAAAGTTTTTTTTTATATTTAGGAGTTTTATTTCTCTAACTTCTGTTCCGATGACTGAACTCCTCCAAGATATTTATAGATGCTTGAAACCGTCTGTCATGCCAGTTACTGACAATGTTGAGATTTAATTGGTAGTGTTTCTGGTAAAGTGATGCAACTCTTCAGTGAACTTTAAAAATGTCATTTATATACCTTTTAGATACAAAAAGGTGTGTGTTTAACTTTGGTGCTCTGCATAAGGAAGGGGAATTTAATTTTTTTGTTTTTCAAGAGTCTGAACTCAGTTGTAAATAACTTCTTAATTTTTTGGGGTGGCACAATAAAACTTTCAAAAAGGCTTGCATTAAGTAGGCATCAAAGTCTAGCACATTTCTCCTTGCCCATATTTTACCTTGTGATATTAGCCTCAATAATAGTACATAGTACTCTAACAAAACATAGCAGGAAAGACATGATTGTTATTGTAAGTTAAGAAGAAAAATACAAACCTTTTTGTCCTGGGAAATAAAGAAAGGAGCAATTTCCAGGTTTTTTACTTTGTTTACAATTAAACTTCCCAGAAAGCTCAGCATGAAAGCTTAGATAAAAATCTGCAACTGAAGTTTGGCAAAATTAGAAGCGAGTGACAAGGAAAACTTCTAAGGGTGCATGATTTGTTGTTATTAGATGAACAAACAGCTTTGCATGTAATAAAGAAGCTAAAGAGACTGCAAATGCTTTCTTTTCCCTTTGTAGAACACCTTGTGAGGATCTACACCTAACTCTTCCTGTAAAGCTGCTTAAGTTCTAGAAATGCCTCTTCTCTTAATCTTCCTCCTCAAACGAAATGTAGCAAAATGAATCAGAACAGCTTAAAACGCTCCACTGCCCTCAGCCGCTGTGCTCTCCTTGTAGTGGGTTTTACATGGATCTGATACGGCCCCGGGCGTTTTCAGGTTAACAAAAAGCAACCCCATTTTAAAATGATGCGGTTCCTTATAATAATTTTAAAAAACCCCTATTTTAAAATGATGCAGTTCCTTATAATAATTAAAAATATTTTCAAATTATGCAGTTCCTTATAAAAAAGAAAAATAAATATTTAATGCACTTAATTGTATTTGAGCCCTTAACTTCCAGAGAAGAGTTTTTGGTGAAGGAGCTGCCAGTCACCTGTAATGACAGTCCGGGCTGAATGGAAAAGGAACGAAGCAGCACGATTGCGTCTGATGTTGCCATTTAAAGAGCGAAGCGTTGAGCCCTGCACAGTGTGAGCAGCGCCGGGGCGTTGCGGGTGGAAGGAGGATGTTGGCAGCACAGAGCTGACCTCTGCTTGCCTCGTTTTCAGCTGTTTAATTAATTGCACTGTCGAGTAAAGGCCAAAGGTAGAGCTTTGAAGAAAGCGAGATCCAGTTCAATTGGGGCAGATAGAAAGAGCTCTTTGTCCTTTTATTATTATTTTTACTGGGTATGACAAGAAGCTGGCAGCTGCGTAACCATCTGTTTTGAAGTGTAGTGCTCGTATATGTCATGGTTGTGCCCTGCTTTAAGGAATTGATGGCAGGGCTTTAAACACTTTCTAGTGAGCCTCCTATCAACTGGACTGAAAAGATAATTTAACAAGTTCTCGTATTCAGATGATGACATTAAAACGTATTTGTTTAGCTGTTTATTTTTGGAATACACTTTCTTCCACTATACCTTAATTCCCCGATTTGTTGCTTCCTGATTTGCTTCCTAATAAATGTTGCTATGGAGAAGATTTCCAATTAACGTTTGAGGGTGGTAGGTTTTATACGTAGCACAAATGTCAGAGCGTGATTTAAAGCAGTGTCCAGTGATAGGAGATTTTAATAGTGTGACTTTTCTGTGTAAATACCCTTCTCGCAAGAAGGTAAAACTTACAAATATTTGATGATTGGGGGAAGCAGGATATAAAATAAGAGTTTAAAACAAACTGCTGCTTCCTTAATTTAATTCTCTAGAAGCCTCCAGACCTGTTGAATCTCATTATTTGTGGGGTTTTTAAATTACTGTGTCCGTGTCTTTTTTACCTATTCCCAGTGTTAGCCTAATGAATGCTGTCAAGGATACTCTCAGCTTCTAATACGCAGGAAACAACTTCCATGTTTAATACTCTGATTAACCAGAGAAGGGAATTGGCCAGGAATAAAACACGGGGTCAGCAAGGTGGCAACTCTGTCGGCCAGGTGCTGAAAGGAGGATGTCAGTGGTTCTAGCCCAAAATAAAACAGCTGTTTCAGTGACAGGGGACGAAACCTCCTGTATGGATCCTGGTCCGGATCGAATCTCACGAGAGTTTTTATAAACCACGGACTGTAAATGATCTTTGCCTTGGGATGCATTTCTTTATAGCAATGCTAGTCTTGTTAATTACTTTCAGTGCAATAATCTGTGCAATAATCAGAATTTCGATAGTAGTAACTAGGTCGTAATTAGCAGAGTGTTACTCTGCTTTGAGATGCTAAAGTGGGACTATCTGGATATTCCTTAAGAGCAGCATCTGTTCGTTCCCCTGTTTCTTGGGATGAACTTGTGCTGGTATTAACAGAGGAAGGTGAAATTGCCATTCAGAATGAGCTTTACACAAATGAATATTACTTGAAAGAAAAAAACAGAAGTAACATCTGTACGGAACTATTTTTAAGTGTCTATGGTTACTGGTGTAATACTCGGCACCAAAATTAGGGCTGCCTCAAAGCAGTTACCATGCTGATTTGGTGGCTTGAGAAACCTTCTGTTTCAGCTAAAAATAATTCCTAGATAACGGCCAGTTTGCGTGTGCTACACTTTTCAGTACTGGAACGAGCAACATTTAACGCTGAAGTGACTCTCGCTTCTGCCTCATTTTACGTCCTTTGAAGAAGCTGCAGAAACTCTACAAAAATGCCAAAGTCGGGGCTCTCAGAGCAGCCGTTTTTTACAATGGTGAATCAGGAGCTGGAAGCAAGTTATTTTAGTGTGTGAACATATGATTTGGTTACATCCTCCAGGTTTTATTTTACAAACCCGTCACGTGCAGCACAACTCGCTCCCCCAACGAACGGCACTAGAAGCTGAACAGACCCATTGCATTTACCTTCTTGCCCCGTTCCCAGCAAATTAACGAGCGGGTGAACGGTGCCAACTGTAAGACACCCACAATCTGCTGTTTACATAACTTTGACTTTGTGCATATTCTCAGCTCGCTCGTAAAGCAGAAGAGAATTTTATTCGTTCTGGATGGGTGGGGGCAGAGGGTGCTGGGACAGATTAAGGGCTCAAGGCTGCGGCGCACGTTTGGCAGGGGAGATAACGGAGCTCAGCTGCTGCTGCCGGAGGGTTAGCGCTGCCCGTCAGTGCCCGGATCGCCACCAAATCTGCTCCGAGTATTTTTAGATCCAGATCCTGGCACTGCGCAGGGGGTAACTTGTCCTTCTGGGTCACTCGAGTCTGGGTTTCCTGGCTTGCCGTTTCGAAAGAAGGGAAGCCTGTTTTGAGGGCTGGCTGGAGGATAGCTGGTCTTTACGGAGAGTAAATGGAAAATGCTGCACTGGCTCAGCTCAGCGCAGGTCACACAGGCGTTTCTTGCCAGTTCTGAGAACATCCCTGTGGTTTAGCAAAGTGGCACAGATGTACCGGGTTTCCAGGCTGCTGTAGATGTCTGAGGTCAAAGGGAAACCACCTAGAAACCCTTCTGTACCAGCAGTAATCTTTTATGGAGCACAGTCATACGTGGATGCCACGAGTTGGTTTGCTAGGCATACATATTTTGTGCATATATGTGGCAATCTGGGTAAATATAAATCTGTGTGGTAGAGTGTAGCCTAAAATAGGTTGAAGCTGATGTTCCTTCTGTCTCATTTTCTGGAAGCCATCTTAATTATCAAATATTGATGTGATAGTAGAGCTCAGATGCTGAGATTTATGTTGGATCTTGAATGCAGAGGGGAAACAGTTTCCCTTTTGAAAAATGAATGGCTGGGGGGAGAAAAACAATGCAGATCGCTGTAGAGTTGTCTGCAGAGCACACTTAATGCTTGATTAAATATTTAATTTAGCAGGAGCGTCACACTCTACTGTGAGCCATGAAATCTCGTTATGGAATTATAATCTCTTAAAGAATAAGCATGCTACCTAGTGACCTGGCTTGTACTATGTTTAGTGCTGGATCACTAATTCTAAAGAAACAAATCTAAAGTGCTTTAAATTTAATATAAACAGTGGTAGCAAGTCTGTTTTGAGCCTGAATCAATAGAATTGGGTCAGATTACTAGAACAAGATTATTGCGGGCTCTGCTTCGAAAGGCAGCAAGCCGCCAGCTCGGATCTCTGTTCTGTTACAGTCATAGCCGTCTCTTTAGCTGTTCTTTACATCTGTCTACCTCTCTTACCTTATCTTTTCAGTGCATATAGTTTTGCTAACTTGAATCCTTCTTGTAGCTTCTCGCTCTTTGTAGTCTCCTATGCAGTAACCCATATGCTTTACTTGTAGTGCAAAATGGCTAAAAGCATAGTGACTGCTGAAAAATTGAATTTTGTGTTAGTGTGGGCTACCCAAATGACCAATATTTTTCTCCTTCCAAACAGCACATTGCAATTCCAAGGCCTGATCGACCTACGGAAGTGCGGACTTTCACGTTTTATCTTTCAAATATTGGCAAGGACAGCCCCCAAGGGAGTTTTGACTGTATCCAGCAGTATGTATCTAGGTGAGCAAAAGAAAATCTAGCCTTTTTTTTAATATCTTCTGTAGAACCTTTTCCCTAGCAAACCTGAACAAGACTTAATACGTGTTCTTTCTTTTTAGAGTCTTTCTAATCTGTTTGTGTGTGTATACTTGGGTAAGGAGGCACTCAGAGAAGAATCTGTTTACCTCTCAGCTTCTTTCTGTCCCCTCCTATTATTTAGATAACGCAAGCTCAGTTATTCACCAGCGACAGAGATGTGCCCATTTGCAGTGTTGGGAGTATCTTTTCCGTTGCATTTCTCTTGCAGCAATGGCAATATCCACTTGGATTGCCTTGGAAGCATACAGGATAAAATCACCGTGTGTGCTACTGATGATTCCTACCAGAAGGCAAGGCAAAGCATGGCACAGGCAGAGGAGGAGACTCGCAGCCGGAGCGCTATAGTCATTAAACCTGGGGGGAGATACGTAGGTAAGCAGCAACTTGATTTGGGGGACTGTCTTCACTAGCTTCTGAAGTCAAATGCTGACGCTTGTTTTGCTTGTCCATGAAAGTCTTTAACAAGTATTTGGTAGTTCCTTATGGGTGTCTCATTAGGGTGCTACTCTCCTTGTATTGTGACTTCTTTATGGCTTCCATCTTCACCCTAGAACGTGTGTGGTGGTGTTTGTGTGGCCCCCGAGGATTGTCGTGTGCAGTCACATCACTCTCTGGCATTATTTCATATTTGTCATGCAATGATGCTGAGAGCATACCGCTGATCCATCAGAAGTGTCTGTGCTCCTAGCGAAGTCAGCTAAAATGTACCACCGCTGTTGTCACACATCTGGTGTGTGCCTACACTTGAGACCGTAACATGCAACATCTAGGATGCAGATAGCAGAGCACTTGTGTTAATAAACAAAGAGACTAAAGCAGTGCTGTTGACTGCAGCCTTAAAGAAACCATCTTATTGCGACAATTAAAGGAGAATCTTAGGGGAGGAAATAAAACTGTGGCAAATATCAGTGGGCTCCAGAAGGAGCCTGCAGAGACCTAGCTTTGGGCTCAGATCTCTGCTTAACCTCAGTCTGGTCACAAATTTAGGGCACAAATATTAACCAGAAAGCAGAGGGGGTTGGCTTTTTTTTAGCCAGCTGTTTTTTCTGCAGCCCATGTGATCTGTAGCCAGTCTCTTCTCAGAGGATGTCTGTGATGAGAATGGTGAGTTGCAAAATGTAGAACTGACCCTGACTCATTGTTTTATCAGCCAAGTGCTCAAAGCTGAGAAATAAGATAGTAATCAGGAAGGAAATGCATTGATTTCCTGTAGACTAGAAGATTATTTTGTTTAGCTTATATTTGAGAACATTACAGTAAGTGGATGAAGTTGTTAGGCTTGTGAGGGAGAAGATTCTCAAAGCAAATTGCTTCCCGGAAAGATAGAGCAAAACTTCTGATTTAAAAATACTCTTGCTAAAACGTTTACTGCTCTGAAATGGAGGTACGACCATGTAAAAAGCAGTGGAGTGGAGCACGTGCTGCATATATAAGATGTCAGTGTTTAAGACGGGAGGAAAGTACTGGTCCAAGAAGGAAGAGCCTGGGCAAGGACAGTCCTCTTGTGGGATATGCACGTATTTGGTGTGCCAGCCCCGTCAGCTGATTCACTCGCAGGCTAGTCTGGAGGGAGAAGGCTGGCTCTCACATTTCCACGAGAACATGGAGCTCAGCACTTAAACGTCAGTGGAGTCATTCCAGGCAGCTCAGATGTGGAAGAATTTAAATGAAATGTTGAAATTGGAGATCAACAGAACAGCATAGATGTGAACTAACACTTGAACGAATGTATATGTAAATAGATAGATGATATGTCTGTAGGGGGATATGTGTGCTTATATATACGCTAAATATGTGTGTGTGTGTGTATACATCTAAATATATGCACATGTATAAATATTTTAAAAGACTCTGTGTTCTGGCTTAATTTAGTTTTTTCTTTTCCTATCATTGTGCATTTTGGCTCCAGCCCTAAGTGGAAATGTCCCAACGTGTTTTTGCTGTTTGTGACCTGGCAAGAGTTAAGGGAGTTCTAGAAAGCTGACGAATCTTCTCTTGTCCCATTTCTGGAAACGGAGTCCAGTTGACCTCTGAATTTTGGGATGTATAACATGTGAATTGTTGTTTTTCTTCCTCTCGTCTTAACTCAGCCCTGCCGACGATGGGTCGTACTTGCTTGCATCAGCGTGGTGCGTAATAAAAAGCCAGGAAGTGGGGACTGAGTTATGCAATCTACATTTCAGTAAAATAAACACTGCAGACAATCACCAGTATCTTCAGATGGCTCAGTTGAAAACATTGCTTCCTAGCAGTGGAGAATTGCCATGCTGAAATAAACCTCCAAAATTCTTGCAGTAAATGCTGGATGTTGTTTGTCCTAGTGAAGGTCACTTTCTTGAACCGAAGTGATTATTGATTCCATCTCCATGTTTTAGACCTTGGAACCTACAGATTTGCTTTTTCGATTTGCTGATTTTGCCTTTGGTAGCAGGAACCTGGCTTTGTGACCTGTTTTGGTATTCAAAATAGTAAAATTCTTTGATTTGCGTTTTAGTAAGTGATGTGGGACTTGTGTGAGGGTTCTAGCTAAAGCTGTTTTTCAATAGGAATGGGAAGATGAATTCTTGTACAATGCTGTCAGAAACCAAGAACCACATTTGGGACGGAGTTGAGGAAGCTGCCTCTGAGGGCTCGAGATGAAGTTTTGAGACAGATTTATGTTCTCACATAAGCATAAATAACTGGAGGGTGAAGCAGTTATTACTACAATGTAGAAGGAGTTATTCTATTAGAATAGACAGCACACTAATGAATAGGCTAATGTATCGGTGTTAGACCCCATTCATGTGGCTGTGTTTGGCGGGGGGGGAAGGGAGGTGGACCCAGCCCCATAAAGTTCCTATTGTTCTAAAAGCAGAAACATCTGCTGGAGTAGCGGTTTTGCTGAGATCAGCAGCAGGGAGCCGCTCGTTGACCAGTTCTGGTCTTTCCGCTCCATATTTCGACTCTTCTACATAATAATGCAGAATTTTCTTCTCTGGAGGGGAAAAAAATGGTTAGATCAACCATGGGGATACATGCACTTGGGATAAATGAAAAGCTGGCAAACAAAGAGAGCTTTATGTAAGCTTGTGGCCAATAATACTCAGGTTTCCAGAGCTTGGTGTTGCTGTTTACTTGTTACAAGCTTGTCATGAATCGTAAAACTCATGGGATACTTGTTCCAGCGGCATATCAGAACGGATGGGGTGTGCTGGTTGTGTTTGTCCTTCATTGTCATCTTCTGGCACTTCAGACGGTGTAATGAACTCCATATACATGTTGACAGACCACTGGCCTTTGCAAGGTGACTGCTGCAGTTCACTATTCTCATCTCATTTTAGGCAAAAAGGTTCAGGTGCGTAAACCTGCACCAGGAGCTTCCGATGCTGTTCCCTCCAGGAAGCGCCCAACGCCAGTCAACCTTGCCAGTGCAATAAAGAGAGGCAATAGTGCGATTTCTCAGAGACCCTTCAAAGATAGGGTTGTGCACTTACTGGCACTAAAGCCTTATAAGAAACCTGAACTTATTCTCAGATTGCAGAAGGATGGACTTTCTCAGCAGGACAAGGATTTGCTGGACAACCTTCTGCAACAGGTTTGTACTCTGATGAAGGCAACAATTTAGGTAAAGGGAAATGTCTTCTCAGAACGGTAGTACCTTCTGTATTAGTCTGAACGTAACCTGTGTATCTCAAAGCTGCAGCTGAATGTTTCTCTAAAGGCCGTGTCCGACAGAAGTTCGCAATTCACGTTACTATTTTGCTAGAGATAGCAGAAGCCTCTCGTGTGTACGCCTCGGTTTAGGTGTATGCAGCTAAGCTGTATGATTTCGGTTCACAGATCAGTCACCTAAGAGGAACACTTTCGGTTGGTCGTGGGGAGAATTATGTTACAGAGGATCTAAGAGCTGTTGGATTTGTTATAACCTATAAATCTATTCTATGTATTTTTATTAATGTGGATTTAAAGGAACATGTTCTGTATTGATACATGTAATATTTCCTATGCGGAGGAAAAAATACATCCCTCTCCACTAAGCTTTACATCTTCTTTGTATTGTTCAGACCCATGCCTTTCCTGCTTTGAAATGCAGCTGGTTAGGTGTGAAGATCATGCAGCTTCTTGCAAAGCATATTATTTGTATGTCAAGTGTGAAAGCTGTCTCCAAGCTAAATCAGTTCTTAACACTTTGAGTCATGTTGAAGGTGCCATTTTAGGAAATGCAGTAAATACCTTTATTGCTCTCTCAGTACAAAACACATCATGGATATTTATTTAAATGCTGCAGCTGTCCCTCTTCTGTATTAGGTTGGTTTTTTTTTTTTACTCCTTTCCATAGCTGAAAAGAATGAGACGGTGAGGAGTTAGTTTGCCCAGGGGCACAGGGCAGTTCATATTGAAAATGGAGTTATTGCTGGCACAACTTGCTCCTTCCCTAGATTTTAATCCTGTAGCCCTTAATTTTCCAGCAGTGCTAGAATTCTTTTGAGCACCCTTTTGAACGCTATAAATAGGTTTAATACTAGAAATACTGGTTTTGATAATCACCTTTTATTGATGCTCTCACAAACCCCTAGCAGGCAAGTGGCGTGTTCAGCAGCGTCCACAGTGTCAGCCTGGTTGGGCTGTAAATGTATTGCTCGTAAACTTAATCTCCTTTCAGCGCTACCAGGGCTCCCATCCACAAGCAGACACAGATAAGCTAAAAATTACAGGCTTCATTAAAGCTACATGTCTAAATACGTCTAGGTGTGGGTTTCATTGTACTCTTGCATCTCTCATAGGACTCTCTGTTCCTGCTGGCCTTTTTGCCTCATTTTGCAAGGTTTCTATTTTTGGGAGGCCTGGGGTGGAGCTTGCGGAGTCCCACACCAGCAAAACAAGGAGGTAGCAGCTCTCAGCCTCTGTGCAGAGAAAATCTGAGGAGTAGTTCTGCCTGGGCTACAAGCCTTGCCGAGCAGTGTGTCTCCCGCTGTAGAAAGAGGCAGTAATGGGAGAGATTCTCAGAGAGTTTTTGAAAAAGAACCTGGCTTTGCTTTTGTCTCTTGGGCATGTTTACTGGGATATCTAAATGTAAAACACAGCTCAAATTCTTCTTGTATTTTGGCTCAGGATTTTGGAAAGCTGACAGAACCGAAAGGAAAAACAAAAGTGTTCATCATGTAAACTGATAACTGTGACTTTTATTTTTTGCTTATCAGGAGAGCTTTGCTGTATTATTGCTTTTAAATTCATAGATTTTTAATATTAGGTCATAGTCTCCCTAAAGCAAAAGTAGAGGAATTAACAGCATCTTCAGTTAACTCAAGACTTTCTACTCCTTCACTTGCTTTTCTGAGGCTGTCTTACTGCTGCGTGGATAATAGAAGTTCATAAGCACAGCCGTCTCCTGAATGGAGCGAGCAATGGAGAACGCCAATCCTTAAACAGATGCACAATATCTCCACTGACTGACTAAAACCGTCTTCCAGTTTCAAGTGTAATACAGTCGTCAAACTGAGCGGCTAAAGCAGCGTATTTGGGATGCAGTTGCTGGCTTTGCCAGTTGATCAGCCTGGCCGTGGGCATAGCATTTGGCATCTCTGCCTCCGTATCCCTTTTATAAAAGCAAATTTAAGGCTTTGTTTCCTTTCTAAACTTGCAGTGCTCTACAATCCACCAAAGAAGGGTTCAGCAAGATAGTACAGTATCTGTGAAAACTTAATTGGGGCTTTTTGGTTTGTACTAACATTGTATTTTTCAGATGTGTAACCAGCAGCAAGAAGTTAAATTTTTCAGTCAAGCTGTGGAAAGACTGATTAAAGCGGGAAAACTCTTAACAAGTTGTTTCCATTCTAATACAATTCTGCTGGTTCCAGCAGTGTTTCCGATCCATGTAGGCACCATGCGGAGTTTTGTGGGGACACTACACACGATAGGATTGGATAAAATGTCACAAACCTTCTCGTGCAAGTGTACTGAGCTAGCTGCAACACATGATTTAGGTGCAATGCTTTACTGTAAAACCCTGGGTTATAAGCTGGTAATCACAGGTTTTGTTCGTGCCCTGAAGTAGTCCTCGGAAAAGTTCTCCTCCATGAAATCCAGCAGGTGATCGTAATGCACTGAACTGCACGGTGTAATCTGCAAGCTCCCTAATGCATTGTATCTGCAAGGCATTCTCTTCACTGCTCCTTGAGAAAGAAGCTATCTGTCGCCTGTTTTACTGGCTTGTTAGTGAGAAATTATCTTCTGGCAATTGTTAACTAAGCTATCGCCGCAAGAGTTCCTCTAACAGCTGATGAACTGCACCATTTTAGCTATTGGACAAGTGTGATAAGTGAACTGCCTGTTCCCACTAGTGTTTATTTCCAGGTATTTCCATAAACTGCTGTTGTACTGTTCCAGACTATCCAAGCTGAATAATCTGCTTAGGTATCACTTGTTTCCCGGTATATTGGATATGCTTTGGAAACTCATAATAAACTATTGCAAAGACAAGGCAAAAGGAAAGGCACAGTTTGATTAAATAATCTAAATAATTAGGAAATGAAGTATAAAGTCTCTGCTTGTTCTCTGACACTACTAACTGCTGCTAAGTCTGCTGAGATTTTTGCCTACATCTTAGATGTCTTTTGTTAGAACAAGTGAGAAAATTAAACCCTAACAGTTTTTTGCAAATTACTTTTGTTTCAGGTGGCAAATTTGAGTGCCAAGGACAGCACTTTCACACTGAAAGATTGTGTATACAAAGAAGTGCAGAAGGACTGGCCTGGCTACTCTGAAGGAGATCAGCAGTTGTTGAAGAGGATACTTGTTCGGTAATTATTCCATCTTCTCTGTAATATCATCTGGAGCTTGAAAATACTGGGCCAGGTCAGTTGCTATAAATCAGGGTAACTGAAGTCAGTAGAACGATGGTAAGTTGAGTGTTTGACTTATTTTAACCTGAAGTAAATCTGTTTATCATCCAGGCAGCTGTAGAAGTTGACTGAACTTGAATATAAAAGTGGAGGCACTCTTCGTATCGTCCTAGGTTGCCATGAAATCGTTATGCTAAAAGCTACGGGGAAAAATCTGGATGGGGAACAAAAGCTGTTACAGTTAAAAGTTAATGGTGGTTTAACATCCTCGGAGACGAATGGATTAAGGCAAATGTGTCCAGCTCAACTCTCCATTGAAACTCTCCTTTCCTTTTTCCATATCTTCTTGTACACGGCTTCCTGTGCAGACTGCCGTGTTTGTTCAAGGCAGGGAGAGAGACGTTACCGTGCAGCCGCGTCCCCTCGCTGTCTTGCTCGGCCGCTTCTGTGTTCTGTTCCTGTGGGTGTCCCTATTCCTCTTGAGCTGTTTGCTTTGGAGACTTTGCCGCTTAATTTCTGTAGCGTTATTTGGCTGTTTGTTTACTTGGGTGTTTTTCTTGTGTTGCAAATTCTGTTAGTATCCCGGTCGCCCTTGCAAGATTAAGATTTGATTGAAGTAAGGGATGTGTGAAAAAGCATGAGGCAGTTCTATAGAGATAAGTCCCCTAAAGCACGTGCCGGTTGTCCTGCTGCCCATACAGTGTAATCCCCACTGTCCAAGGGATACCTGTTCTCATGTTCCTACCTGAAAATAGCCCTTAACAGAGTTAGTTGAGACAATAGCTTTGTCTCATTGGTTGCTACGGATTTTTTTCCTCTGCAGATATTTTTCCTTAGGTGAAGCCTCCACGCTTGGAAGCTCTTGGCTGGCAGGCAGCAGGGAAAGAGAACGTATCTCTCGGGTTTCTAAAGGAGAATTCTGCTCAGAGTGTTGATATTTGCCCCTCTGGGTTTTCAGTGTGTTTGTACTGACTTGGTACAGATTTTGTAATGCGGATAGAGATTTTTGCTTGACTTGTTTTTGAGACTTAATCTTAACCAAAAATGCAATAAAATAAGTAGAGCATGCTCTGTTTGAACAGTTTCCATGATTTGAAAGCACAATTGGCTGGGAGATGAGACTTTGTTAAACCAACAGAAACTTGCACTTAAAGTGCTTTGGCATGCTAAAGAAAAATCAAACTCGTTTAAATGGCCTTGATGCTGAATTATAATTAAATGGAAAAATACAACTGCCATGCAATCTTTATGGCTTTCAAAAAAGTTAATTCCTCCCTGTAGAAAGCAATGTTTACTGCTTTTTCTAGAATTGTGGCATTCAGTTATGCAAAGGTCTAAAAATAGCCATTGGAAAGGATGTATTCAACTGTACAAACAAAGACCCGCTCAGCCAATGCAGGTAATGAGGCTACAGAATGGAAAAAACATGTAGGGTTGAAGACAGTAGAAAAACATTCACAAAAAGGGCACAGGCACCAGACGTAGGACTTTACGTAGCTGGCTGTGGTAGTCTGCGTGGTTGCCTAGATCCAGCCAATTGTTAAATGTCCTCTCGGTTTTCAGGTCCGGTTGCTACTCGATGGTTCATTGGCTGCAATAATTAGGACATCTGCAAATATTAAAACTGTATCTAACAGTGCCCCTGTTAGACTAACTCATTTTTTCTCGTTGTCTGTGTTTTCCATCCTTCTTTCGCCATTGTAGTGAAATGTTTTTCCGTCGTTACAAGAGCCGCTGAATTGAAAGTAGTTGTCTTTCATTCACTTTTTTTTAAATCCATAATTAATGTGTTAGGAGATGTGACAAGGTTGCTCAGTCTAGTCAAACGGCATCCAAAAAGCCACTTTCACTGTGGTGTTTATGCAATATCACTGTTCCCCTTCCTGTTTTCACAGTCTCTGAGTACTTTTCTTGAGTTGATCCGTGGCTGTTGAGATTGTTCTAAATAAAATTAAACAAAGCAGCAACTGAAGCCAGAACGGCGGTGAAACTGCAGACGTCTAAATGTTGCTGCAATACGGCCGAAGGTTCAAGCTCAGGTTAAAAGAAAATCTTGTAAAAGTCATGGGCTCTATCTCTGAAATAATCTTCCCAATGTTTGAAAAATATGTGCGCGCTTTAAAGCTGATTATAGCCTCTTGTGGAAGAATTTAGACGTTGGTTATTTAGGCTGTACAGCTGGTGACAAAATGACTGCAGAACTAGTTTATTAAAACCTTTAACCCTGAATTTTTTTCCAGCTTGACAGCTGCAACTTGATGCAACAGTAGTTTTTCCTGGGTGATTAATACACGGGCAATCTGGCTGGTGTCAGAGGAGTAGGGCAAAGCTGGTGCGCTATGAAACTTTACTCCGAGATCTGGAGAGCCCCTTGGGTGGTGGGGAGTGGAGATACCCAGCGTGAATGTGAATTAACGCACTTACGTGATTAGAATGACTTGCATTGTACTTTTTTGCTACAAGAGGTTTCTCTTGTTTGTCGAATACCGCAGATACAGACCAGAGTAGCACAATTTTGCATGATGCAACTTAAAAGTGTTATTATGAAGCCCTGAATGTAAATCCTAGTGGACCAATAACACCGTAACAGTTCCTGTATAATCCTGCTTTTCCTGGACCCAGTGGGGCTTGCTTCTGAAAGAGGACTGCTGTTCCTGTAAAATCTTGCTTTAATGGTGCTAATGAGTGGGAGAACTTACTCCTCAACATCTGAACTTGAGTTTCAGCCCCTTTTCAGTGTGCTTGTTTTCTGAATTTTCTCGTGAAGTCAATTTTAACTGGGGGAGGCAAACTCAGCAGAAATGATTTTAAATAATGTCTTGCTTATTGAGCTGTATTTCAGTCAGTAGCAAGAATATATGTATCCTATACACTTTAAAGTTCAATGCCAGGTTTTACTAATCTGTATATGGATTATTTTTCTAAGGTTGTAATTCATTTGTTGTAGTACTTACGTCACCAGTTCAAGAGAAAAGAGGTAAAACTGTTGGAAAATAAGTTCCGTCCTCAGTCGGGAATCCTCTTGTGTGTCTGATAGCTCAGCCTGCCTCCTCCCTCCCTGCCACAACACCGGCAGTGTCAGTCCAAGGTCTTACCTCCATTCACAGAGAATTACAGAAATCATGGGAAGGCAAGAAAGAGATAAGCAATTACCATATGTTGTTGACTGATATTTTCCTGTAGTAGTTTCTTCCTAGATTTTGTCTGAGATCGAAACTGTAAGTGCCTGAACGAGCTACTTTCATGGCATCTTCAAGCAGTCAGAATTGGAGCCCACAAAAAGGCTCTTTGCTCTGCAGGAAGATTTGAAATACCATCTGTTGGCTTGTCAAGCACGGGATTTGAACAGCCCTAAATTCTGTTTTTCAGGAAACTCTGTCAGCCGCAGAACAGTAGCGGTTTTCAAGGAGAAGCGCCTTCCCTGAGTCCACCGAAAGACAACGTGAACTCCAGCTCTCCTCCTCAGGTAGGTGATCCCTCTCCAAGGGTGTTGGGTCTGATTAGCGCAGAGCCAGCAATCGGCTCCGTCTGCTCTTGATGGAGTTGGTGGCTGGACATAGGTCCAGGCTGAGCTGTTCAGCCTGTCTGCACACTGTAATCACCTGCTGCTGGAGGCTCTTAGGTCAATAGGTTGCTGGGTTTTTTTTTTCTATTTTATTAAGTTAGTCTAATTCTGGGTTTCCTCGGCATCTGTTTCTCCTCTGGATGTGGTTCAGTGATGGCCTATGGGGAGGATCTCTGACAGTGTGTCTTAGGTTTAGTTTTAAGGGCTAAATTTTTTTCACAGTGCCTACATCCCTCTTGGAGTTCCTGGGAGAATGAGCTTGTGTTTTACTCATTACTAATAATTGACTGGAACGAAGCAGTAATAAGTAGTTCCCAAACATGGTTGAGTTATTAAAAACCTTGACCTTTTGCAACCTAATTGCCGTGACAGATCAGGGGCAGGTTGGTCTGCTCTTTGATTTGTTGAGATGCCAGCGCATGGAGCTGTGAAAAGCACGTTCTAGCTGTTTTTCCATGATAATAAACTGCGAAGGAGCTGCACTTGCTTGTGTGTTAAGCAGAGTCTGTCCCCACTCCTCTTAATATCTCTTAGCACAGGCATTTCTTGCGAGCATTGTGAAATGCCAGCTTCCTTTCTCTGCTGTGGGTCAGCCCAGACAAGTTGAGTATTTATTCTCCTCCTGCCAGTGGAATGTGTAATGCCTACTTGTCTGGACAGACGCACTGAGGATTAGTGGCAAAGAATATTAGCAGGTAAAGAAATTATGTGCTTTCTGGCTGTGAGAGGGAGGCAGTTCTCTATTGAGAACAAGAACTGTTCAACTTGTTTGCCAGGTAACTAATTCCAAATCCTCTCCTGCTCTGCTGTGGGCATGTTCCTGGTGAATAAAGAATGATCCCCTTCGTTCGAGTTAGCTTGGAAAGACACAATGCTGTTAAGAGGCTGGTCTTGTGTTTTTCTTAACCTGATTTTGAAAAAATGTAGGTTGAAAAATCATCTCGCTTCTGGCTGTATATATTTTGAAAGATGCAAAGGTCTGTAGGGGATGTTTCTGGTCTCTTGAGATGACCCAGTTGAAACTTTGGGTGGTTGATTGGCTTGGATCTAGAAAAGGCTAGTGAAACAGGGGCAACGCAACATGGAATATAAATGTTTCCAGCAGTGCTTCTAACATGGCTTGTGTCAGACAGCAAACCGCAGACTGCTTTTTCTTGTAAGCAGTCATTTTTTTTGATACTCTATAGCTGTAGTTTCTATTTAGAGAAGGGATGCCTGCTAATGGTTGCAGTCCCAGCAGGGGACTGGGATTTGGTAGTCTGGAATGCAAAATATTTTGGGAAAGTTCAGTGGTGGAATGAAGGCGAAGAAGATGATTGGTCTGGTAATTCTAAGGAAGCATGGCAGAGCAGGTATCGCACGCATGTACCACCTCACAACCAAAGAGGTAAAGCTGGTGAAGCTGGTATTTGTTGGCTTTAGAGAAAGGATAGTAAAAGATGGCAGTTCTTAGATCTGAAACCTGTAGCCAAAGCGAATGGCCCCTCCTTTTGGGAGATGGACACTGCTTGTGTTATGCTGGGAAGGCAGTCAGTGATGTTGCAAAGCTGGTTTGACGTGCTGTCCTTGCCCCTTGAGCTCTGTGGCAGTAGGAGCAGCTCCTCTTCGTAATTACCTTGACAGGTGGAAAGGGTTCCTGCCACTGAGCAGTGTCCTTGAGACCCCTGGAGTTAGCAAAGAGAAATAATAACTGGGGGGGGGGGGGGGGGGGGGGGAATTGGGGGCCCCCGCACAAA